ATAGTCCACTACTACCAAAATATATTAATTTCTTAATGATGATGCAAACTATCCTATTAAGTTTATTTACCATACAACAAATATATTAAATTCTTGAATACAATTTAAGGACATCTTATTCTTCTTAAAAATAACAACTACCTATTGACGTTTATCATATATTTTAATATACTCATTGATTGTGAAAGATTTTCTTATGGATATCCACCATAAATCTTCAAATGACCCGTTCAAGATCCCATGGTTTCGTCCTCCCAGGGTAATTTAGGTTTATGGTTTGATTAGTCATGAGTGACTGGAAGACACTTTGCTAGCAGTCATGGGTTGCCTCTTTTAAAGTTCCTTCTCAAATCGGGTTATGTTTTTTAGTTGAAGTTTAAGTTTTAGTGTGTAACTTATATTGTGTCTTTTATGTTTATTACAAATTTTGTAATTCAACCCATATAATCTCGAGAGTGTGTTTTTAATTTAAAATGTGCTTTTACTCTTTTTTGAGTGGTCTAACACTCCCTAAATAGATTTGTTGTCAATTTTTTTGTTTGAGTATGGTTCAGGATAACCTAAGTTAGCCCGATTTAGTTTAAGTTGATTTGGACTAGACCAAGTTCGATTTAAGTTGATTTATGCTAGCCAGGTTTGTTTAAGCTTGATTTGGGTTAGCCCAGTCAACCCAGAATTGTTTAAGTTTGATTTAGGTTGGCCAACGTTAGGTCGGGTTGACCCAAGTTTATTTAAGTTTGAATTGGATTAGTCTAAGTTAGGTTGGGTTGACCCAAGTTTGTCTAAATTTAATTTAGGTTAGCCCAGGTTAGGCTGGGTTGGCCCAGGTTGGATTTAAGTTAATTTGGGTTGGCTCAAGTTTGATTTAATTTATTTAGGCTAGCCTAGGTTAACCTAGGTTGACCCAAGTCTGTTTAAGTTTGATTTGGGTAAGATCAGATAAGGATGGGTTAATCCAGGTTTGTTTAAGTTTGATTTGGGTTAGCCAAGGTTAGGCTGGGTTGACCCAGTTTGTTTAAGTTTGATTTGACTTAGCTCAAATTAAGCTGGGTTGACCCTGGTTGGATTTAAGTTGAATTGGGTTAGCCCGGGTTTGATTTAAGTTGATTTAGGTTGGCCTAGGTTAGACTAGGTTAACTCAGATTTGCTTATGTTTGATTTGGGTTAGCCCCAGTTAAGCTGGGTGTTGGATTTAATTTGATTTGGGTTTGCCCAGTTCGGACTTAGGTTGGATTTAAGTTAATTTGGGTTAGCCTATGTTTAGCTAGATTTACCCAAGTTTGTTTAAGTTTGATTTTAGGTTGGTCCTGAATTGAGTTTCAAATTTGGTTGGGTTAAGCTTATGTTGGGTTGAGCATTAAATATGTTTTAGGTTAAGTTTAAGATTTGGTTTAGTCAAGCCTATGTTGGGTTAGACTTGAGTTAATTTTTAATGTTTTATTTGAGTTAGGTTTGTTATGTTAGACTTAAGTTAAGTTTGAGGTTAAGTTTAGAATTTGGTTAAGTCAAGCCTAAGTTGGATTAGACTTGAGCCAATTTTTAAAGTTTGAGTTGAGTTAGGTCTAAGTTATGTTAAACTTGAGTTAAGCCTTCGGTCAAGTTTAGGATTTGGTTAAGTCAAGCCGACTTGAGTTAATTTCTTAAAGTTTGAGTTTAGTTTTTGGTTAAGTCGTCTAAGTTGGGTTAGACTTGAGTTAAGTTTAAAAGTTGAGTTGAGTTAGGTCTATGTTGAATTAGACCTAAGTTAGAATTCAAGTTTCAGTTGAGTTAGGTCTAAGTTATGTTAGACCCAAGCTAAGTTTGAAATTTGAGTAAAGTTGGGTTAGTTCTACGATGGGTTAGACCCAAGTTTAGTTTAAAGTCAATTAGATTATGTCAGGTCTAAATTGGGTTAGACCTAAGTTGAATTTTGAATTTGAATTGAGTTAGGTCCAAATTGGGTTAAATCTAAGTTAAGTCTTAAAATTTGAATTAAGTTAGGACTAAGTTGGGTTAGAACGAAGTTAAATTTTAGGATAAATTTTGGTTGGCATGAGTCTAGGATTGATCAGACTATTTTAAGTTTTGGTTATTAAGGTAATTTCATAATTAAAGGGTTGATTATGAAATGAACCTACTTTAATTAATAATTTGATTTAATGCTTTCATTTAGGTGTAATTCTAAGATTTTCTAAGTTAAGTTTGATGTTTAATTAAATTTGGTAGACAATTTGGGCTAAATATGCAAAATTTTACAAGTTTACCCTTAATATATTTATTTTATTTTTAATTTTTTAAAGATGAAAATTGTAATAAGTGTGTGAGTTTACTGTCCTAACCTTCCTTATTAGTTTTCAATTCAAAACATATTTTTTTTATTAATATTTTATTTTTTATAAATATTTCTCATAATAATTATAATTTTGATAGCAAAATAAGAATATTAGCATTAGGAGGACCTTTATCCTTGAAAAAATTAGTGGAGATTCCTAATAATAGAGGGACCTCAAATTTTCATACTTTTAGGCCTTATATTTAATTCTTAAAAATTAATAAAATCTCTGAGAAATTTAATTAATTTAAAATTAAATATAAGTTAATTTATCTCGTTTTTAGTTTTATCATTTTCTCCCATATTCTCTGAGTTCAAAAGTATTTTTATTTTATTTTTATAATTTTTATATGTTAAGTTTTGCATTATAAAGGTTCTATACATTTTTTTGGATTTAAATAATTAGGAAAAGTCATATTTTCTCACTTAACCCAGTCAGCGTCGCATAATCCTCGGAGTCGTCGAACATCAATGTGTCGCCCCGTCGTTCGCTCCGCTCATGCAAGTCGTTGAGGTTGCCTCGATCCGGTGCACTTCTCTCCCTGGTTCACCATTTAGATTGATCTCCGCCGTTAGTTTCTAATACACAGAAATGGATGACATCCATTCATCATCTTCACAAAATAGAGAACATAGAGTCGTCTCTATTCAAACCCTAAGATCTCATGCTAAGGTTAACCAAATTGCTTATGGTTTGACCCTATAGCTTCATCTAAGTGAGGTGAACCTATCAATGTGGCTAGGTGGTCATGCATTGTTGTTTTGCTTCACAAAAGACCAAACTAAGGAAAAAATTGGGGAATTCAAGCCATTACCTTATCCCAATTGGTGAGGCCCTAATTAGGCTTGATGAAAAAGATCGCCTTGTATGTGTGCTCCTCCACCTTGCTCCAATTTGCTCTAAATTGACACTAGGTATATGCTATGCCAAATGGGAGCTTGGGTTGGTGTTGAGCTAGGTTAGCGAGTGCACGAATTAGGGGTTTTGATTACAGATGAAGTTTCAGGACCTTGTGAAGCTACTGGAAATGTTGGAATGGAGTTTTGGTGAGGTTGATGTCAAGGTAAAAAAGCCTTGGGTTTTAAATTAGGGTTAAAGGGGTGACTAAAGTGTCTTGGAAATGTTGGGAGGTGGCCTCTAGGGTCTGTGGAAATAATGTTGGTGTTGGAGGTAGAGAGTTCTAGTGAGAGCTTAAGGAGTTTCTGTGTGTTCTGAGGCACTCAGTTTGGGGCAATAAATAGCTATGGGAGGCCATGAGAGAGGCCTTGGCGTGCATGGGAAGCTCTGGTGGCTCCTCAAAGAATGGGCAGAGGGATTTCAGAGGCTTTGGGTAGTGGGGGAAAGCTTTCTCCATGCTTTGGTGTGCTTGACCATGGAGGCTCCAATGTGGAAGTAGTAGGCATGTCAAGGCTTAATGATGATTGAGAAAAGCTTGTTTTGGGTAGCTTGACTCAATTTTAACCTGAGTTTGACCCTTATAAGGATTGAACTTGGGTGGGTTAGACTTGGGTGTCATGTGTTGGCTTTCTTAGTTAAGTGTGTAAATTTTGTCTCTTTGTGTTTGTCTTAAGTTTAATTTTATTTAATTATTTTTTTATTAGATTGTTGTGTCATGGTGGGCAACTTTGGGTTATTTGGGTCTTTTTTGGGTTCCAAGTTTTGGGCTTGGGTCATAGGCCTTAGGCTTTTGTGTTTGGGCCTTCAATGATGGGCTTGTCTTTGGGTGGTTGGCATACCATTTAAGGCTTTTATGATTAACTAATTAGATTAATTATTTCATTTTTTAATTAATTTAGATCTAAATTCAACTTGATGATTCTAGTGCTTTTGGTGTGAGCTTAAGTTGAACAGTGGTTTTTGGTAGTGTTTGGTGGTTTGATGTTTAATGAATTTCTTTTATTTTGATTTTGTATCAATTATGTTTGATTTTAATTTCTTTTAAGGGTGTTGAGTATTTTAAACTTAGTGATGAATTTAGTATATTTAAGTGGTTATTTGTTCTTAGGGTTTCTTTAAGTTTGGTGAAGGCATTTTGGTAGATTCCAAGTCTAGTTGTGGTGGCCCAACATCTTTTTTGGTTTAAATTTTGATGTTTTAGTCCTCTTTTTATCTTAATTTAAGATTTTGGTCTAATGGGTGAACATTTTTTTAATTTAGAATTCGCCTCATACCCAATGAACTCCTTCCACACCAAAGAGGATTTAGGGGTGGTCAATAGGTCATCAAAGGGGTTCCCAGGACTCTAGGCTCATAGGTTGCCTGAGATCTCCTCCACATGTAGGAATTCAACTTGGACTTCTATCAGTTTCAACCCTCATCGTCTCAACGAGTAATTGACGAATTGGGTTTAACCTTATGAAACCTCAAGTGAATATAGAATTGGTTTGAAGTTTTATGTAGATGAGTTCCATCTCTAGGCATCTAAGAAAGCCACTTGGAAGCCATAATTCTAGATCATAGGCTTCTATAGGGAAAAAAGATGTCCTCACAAAAGTGAGGTCATCAAACACATAACCATACTTAAAATACATTAACAAGAGCACCAAAGCTACCTTCATAACATCAAATCCTTTGATTTCAACTTACTTTTGATTTAATTTAGTGGTTAAATCATTCCTCTTTGCATTCACATCTTATATATCATGTGCTACATCATATGTGTGTTTGTGAGTGTGTGTGTGTTCCTCTATTCATAACTAATTAATTACATGGTTGAGCATTATGACATCATAAACTATGTTAAATTATATTATACATTTGAATTAAAACATGACAAAGTAGCAAAATATGTGATGCCGGAGACGTAGGAATTCTTAAATTAGCCAAATGGAATGTGTGCTTTCATAATGAAGTATATAATGATTAACAATTCTCTTTTATCTATACATCTAAGTAAAATACATCGATAGCTAAACCAACCACATATTAATGCAATCACTATATATGGTAATAACTATCCCTATCCGGTTTAACCATACCGTTCAGGTGATGGTGTGGATCGTATTACGCCGTGCGTTAGACGGAGTGATGTGATCCACACCATCGTCTGCTCATTCATCATCTAGATGTAATTTTTTATTGTTTCTTTGATGATACATATATGCATTAGTCATGCCTTGGGCGAGAAAGCCAAAGGGAACTTAGAGCTCGGAGGCGATGGAAATATTCAGAGATGGCCAAGAAGCACTTTGCACTCTGGCGTGCCGTTAATATTTCATAGAGTCTGTGAAGTGTTTGCAGTCTTAGGTTGTCAGCCTGTAATCACACATTCAAGTTATCATGTATATCTAAGCATGCATTCACCAAAATTCCATAATTAGTTATTAAGCAGCTCAAATATATTACAAAACAAAAAATTATAAAAATATGCAAAAGAAAATTAATAAAAACTATTAAAAAAAAAGAGTTTTCATAGCACTTTATACATGTAATCATAGTGATAAATATCTCTATTATTTTCATTGTAGCAGATTTTAAATCGCTGCAATTGCTAGCACTGCAAAGACTTTTAGCAGCAGTTTTAAATATTTTGATGATTTTTTTTCTTAGAATTTTTAGAAATGCTTCTTAAAAGTGTCTTTAAATAAACGTTGTTAAAATCTTTTCATAGTAGTTGAATTAAAAATATATTTTTAAATCACTAAATTTTTATTTTATTCGTGATCATCCCCAAAATGTCAAAATAAGCATTTTTTTTGCCTTTTTGGTTAATTGTATGTCTTTTAGTAGGACTTGTTCTCTAATTATAACAATTTGATTGATCCAAAGTCAAAAAGAATTGGAGAAAATAATATGAGTAGTTTATCTAACAAATCTACACAAATTTAAACCTTTACCATCTTGTGGCCTTATTCAACAAAGGTTGGAAGTAAGACCAACATTGTTTAGTTTTAAATTAGAACAAGAATATTAGCTGAATGCTAAGACATGACATTGTATAATGTGAATAAGTAGTTGGTATAGTCATTAAACTTATAATATGCAAAGCGCCAACTTTTGTTGTCAAAAGTCATCTACCACATAACCAATCTATTATACTATTATATAGGTTTTGTGATAACAACTCTAATAACTATAGATAACCAATATATCGTAGTTTTCTATATGCTTGAAGAGATTATTAAATAAGCATGCATTTTTCTTGTCTTTTTTCACATTTCAACCAATATAAAACAATTAATGCTGAGAAAGAAGTTTTATGATTGTGCAAATGATTGTTTTGATTACGTTCAATGATTGAACTAAGTAATGATCTTATTTTGTTAAAATTTAAACAAGTTGATATTACGTGTGAAATTTACGCATGCAGATTGATAATATTTAGTTGTATTATAGTGGTATTGCACTATAATTCCACCCAATACTACCAAATCCACACGTATTCGCACCTATCTTGTTTTGCACTCAGGCTAATAACTAGATATAATTTTTTTAGCTTATTCAGCAAAGAAGTGATGTGTGATTAGGGAAGATTTGAAAAGTTAGAACATACTTGTCTAATGAAGCCTTCGAGTGTAGAGAGCTTATTCATAGCTATGGCCATTTGACCCATGTAATTGGCCATGTTGGATGTGAAGCTGAAAGAGCTGGAAACAATGGAGTCAGCCAGAGATTGATAGAGGGCTTCAAGTGCTTGGCTAAGGGCCTCTTCGCTCTCTTGTGCAGAGTGCTGTAATTTGCTTATTCCCAGTAGTTGTAGCTCTGTTAAGGGCTCGATGTGGCACACAACAACCTAATAACAATTACAAAATAACAAAACACACTGTGAAGTATTAATGTAACTATGATATGCATAATTTTGTCAACAATGATGTTGATCTAACACGTGAAATTTATTCAAGTTCATTAGGAAAAAAAATAGAGAAAAATTTCTCTTGCAACTATGATATGTTTTATAATGTTTTTATAATACGGTTTAGGATTACTTTTTTTAATCATAACATGTTGAAGTGTAATGACTGCCAGAAAACTGTCAATTGACTTTTTGAAACGACAGTTTCTTCTGTGAACTACAACAACTTTATAATTGCTTCGTCAAACAAGTAAAGCTGTTCCAAATAGATCCTAAACACATGTAACTTTTTTTCACGAGAAAATAAGACTCCGAAACTTAACAAATAATGACTATATATTTTGTCCATATAAAAACATTAGGTTAGAAAAAGTATATAAAAAAGCCCCATGATTAGCACAAAAATTGAAATTTCCTTTATATTTCCAACAAATTAAATGCCTACATGTTAAATCTCTCTCTTTCCTATTGCATGCACAAGGCCAGGCCACTTTATTCAACAAAAGAAGCAACCTCTTTACTTAGCATTTTCTATCTATCCAGACCGCCCATGCCCATACTTGCACCAACTTCTGTCTCAAGCATACTGGGGAGGCTAACGAAGTCAAATCTTTCTAGTAGATAAAATGACAGACAAGGAATCAAACGCTGCACTAATCTTGATTCGAAAGCGACAAACATATCTATAAGTCTTCTGTACAATTGACATTATCATTAAAAGCAAATTAACAATTTTAATTAGCTATTTAATTGAAATAGAATGGAAATATGTCAGAAATCTAATAATGTAAACAGTGAAGATACATGGCATATTTATCCAATATGTGCTCACAGTCTGCCAACAAGCTATTAAGGCCTAATTAGTTTTTTAATGAAAAATTAAGTCATTTCTAACAACAAAGCTTATGTTATAAAGCTAGACAATGTTGGGGGGCATGCATGATGTGAGAGGAGAGGCCATGCATAGCTTAGGAGCCTAAATACCTATATATATATATATATATAATATATATATATATCATGATAGTTGCGCCGCGTACTCAGATCAGTTGGTCTGGCATCTACTTGTCAGTTGTGAGTCCCCTCTGGTCTGGGGTTCGATTTCCCACGGTGGAGGGTGTGGTACTCGAATTGTTAGGCGCATGAGGGATGATCATGACTCGTATAATAACCCGAGGTCATTCCTTTTCTATATATATATTATTCGATCGTCAAAATATATTGTTTTCTTTTATTTTCTTTTTTGGAAAGTAATGTAAAATTTAAAATAATATCAGTTTCTACCCACACAAAAACTAATTAAATGATGAAGTTAACATAAACTAATGATTTCAAAGATCAAGAAATAGGGAAAAATTATAAAAAAAAACATAGCTCAAAATATAGATATATAGTTCAACCCATTACATAATTATTAGTAATCTATATTCATTATAACTCAATATCAACTAATTAAAAGTTAGCAAAATTATTGATCCAATTTTTAAAAATTGAACTCATTTTGAGAAAATGTTACATATTTAATAAGTATGTGCGGACAAAGTGTGAATGAGAAGATCACATCATTATAATTTCAGTCAGATATGATATGATCTTCTCATCCATCATTTTCTATACATACTTACAAATAATGTAATATTTTCTTGTTTAGCAGACCTTGATGAGCTCGGAAGGGCAGAATCCTCCAATCCAAAGGAAGCAACGCTCCGCAGGCGTCTTCCACATTCCAGAGATGATATGAAACACATCTGCTTTGATAGCCATGCTCTTCAAATTCATCAATGTGTTGTAATGCGCGACACAGCTGCCCACATATATATGAAGCTCATGTTCTTGTACTCGTTCCTGCATCGCCGTCCGAAGCTCCATCATTAGGCGGTGGTGCTCTTCTACCCATCTTGCATACTCTATGTCGAAAGCCGCAGCACCTAAATTAAGTTATGCAAAGTATTATAAGTTAAGTCACAAGTCATCGTATCGATTTTGAAAATGAGGAGGAGAAAATATTAGATGCCAACCAATATATTGGAGGAGAGAGGGGAGTGAGAGAGTGTCTCCCTCCCCCCCCCCCCCCCCCCTCCTCTTTCTCCTTCTTGGCCACACAAGTTGATTGGACACAAATGCGTACGTGCGAGTGAACGTAGAAATGTGTACGATGAACCAATCAAAATACTTCCCGTACCAAAAGTATATGTCAGTGGGCCCCAATTTAATTTTTTTTTTTAAAAAAATTCTCATTGGACAGCGGACGCAACTTGCATCAGCTGTCCTTACAGAACAATGGCTCGTGCTACACACCTAGTATGAAGAAAGAGAAGAGGAAGCAATCACATGCCTGAGCTGAGGCAATCGGAGCTTGTAGCTAAGCCTTGTTCTCCTAAAATGCCAGCCCCAAGGAGGACGCCCTAGTTATGAAAAAAATAAATAAAATATTTAAGAGTACTTGATCAATATATTATTTGAAACTCTTAACTCTTGTAAATGAAATTATTGATTATCAAGAATAATGAGCCATAAAGTTATTAAAAATAAATATTGCATGCAAAAATAAATTAAATTCTATATTCTTGAATCTGATGGTTTGCTCGTACATCATATAGTGTGACAAAATATTACATATTTTATAAGTATGTGTGGACAGAAATGGATGAAAAAGTTTCATCACAGCAAAATGATATTATAATGAAATGAACTTTCCATCCATTGTTGTTCGCACATACTTACAGAATATGTAATATTTTCTCATGAAGGAGGGGTAGCATTCGTGCTGTCCATCTAAGTGTGGAAAGAAGAAGCTAAGAAATATCTAACGACTTAAAGGATGAGAAAAACTGTTTTTCTTCGTGCAAGTAATTACCTGTGTCCGTGCCCTTTGAATCTCTTGCTCTAGCTGATTAAGCTTCATCTTACACGACTCTAGTTGTTGGACATATGCCTTTTGTCAAAATGGTATACATAAGAAATCAAGGCTTGAGACTTTAAGGAAAGATATATATATACATAAAAACATATATATAAATAAATATATAAGATGTAATAAAAATCTTTCATGAGTTAACTACAACAACTAATAAATTATGATTATTTCATATGCAAGGAAACAGTTCATATAAACCCGTTTATTCCTCTACAAAACATACCTTCTTCCTCAGTCTGCTCTTCCTTGCTGCCTCTCTATTTTGAGCAAGCCGTCTTAATGTCTGCTCATAATAACAAGGAGGAGGAGATTCAGGTTTCTTTAATGGAGAAAATTGGTAAAAATTGAAACTTTTTTGTAAAATGTATTCCGTTTTACTCAAATGAAATTAATTAGATAAACCTTAGCATCTGGTGTTTTTGGCCCCTCATGATCTGAGCATGATGTTGTAGCCTTGCTGCTTCCTTCTTTCTGGCAAATTCAAGGAAAAAAAAAAACATCATCTTGATAAAAATTGATTTTTTATGTTCTTCAATCCTAATTTGATTCTTCAATTTTCACCTTCAGAGGTAATCCGTCACTCCTCGCTGAAATATGAGGATTAGTTGCAGATGTATTTTTTCTGCTGCATAACTCCATGTTTTGTTCTTCTGCTTTCTTAGAAGCTCTTTTCACTGCTGGAGAGTCTAAGCTCATACTGTACTGTAAATCATCATTCAAAGGCTACAGCAAATTCAAACAGCAGCTTAAATTACAGGAAAAAAAGGGAAAGTAAATCATAAAAATAATAATTTTTTTTATAATAACTAATTTATCATACCTTAGAAGATGGTTCTACATGCATTGGCTCTGAAGGGAAAATTTTCAGTGTTTCTGCATACATGAATTCCTGCAAGCATTAAATCTCCTAAAGGTGCCACTCATTCATAAAAAACATATTTTTCACATATAACTTTTAACAACTTTGTATATATATATATATAATTAAAGTTTTTGACACAATCTTGTTTGGGGAAAAAAAAAAAGTTGATCATTTAAGACATAGAATCTGATATCTTACCATAAACTTTTTACAGAAAGTTTTGAAATTTACACATAATTTGCACCAGATGATTGACCTCACCTTTCTGTTCCTGTCCATCAAGATACATAAAAAAAGCCTGATCAAAATCCCCCATTTCATATGCCCCTGCAGCCTCCTGCCTTCTGCATACATGCAATACATCATTCATTCACATGTATACATGCAAATGAAAAAAAAAAAACTAAATTTTGGAAAGAAAAATGAAACATAGGCACATGGACTTTTGATCTAGCTATGGATTTAACTAATGAAATAAAGAAATACATGTAGTTTGGATGCGTGGAAGATGATGGCTGGATCATGCCAAATGATATCTGATGCTCCTTTGACATCTAGAGCTCTGATTTTAATTTCTTCCTCTCATGGCTTAATACTTCTGCAACAAAATGAGAGCTTTCTTCTTCTTTTCTCCTTCTTTATTGTTCCTCTTCTTCTTCAGCTCACCAGAAGCGGTTACCAGATAAGGAGGATGCAGAAATCCTGGTGAATTGCTCTTAGACAAATAGGTATTCTCTAAATTCACCTCCCTTTATTTCTTCTAGAGACTTGTGTTATATTTATATGAATATCTATGTATGTATATTATGAAGGGATATTTCATAGGAGTGATGGGTTGCAATGTCAATTTATGTTAAATATGATTTATCAAATTCAGTAAATTTGATCGTCAGTGCGATGGAAATGAACGCACAAGTGATGGAGGGAAGAGATTCTTAAATCGTTCTCACTATCAAAATTTATTAAATTTGGATTTACGTTCGAAAAGATGAAACGATGGTTTAGATTTAATTTTTATTTTTTCAAAATTTGACTGGATTTACGTTAAATTCATGGATAATTTTTCTTAAATTAAGCTGCGAAACGCTCTAAATTTTATTTAATGCATTTTTAATTTTTTTTTTTTGTAAACTTTGACTACACTAATTGTGGTATTTTAACTTCTTAAGAGTTTTGTAAGGAAATTTAATTTTATAACTAAATTTGTGGGGTTGGTTTGGGGGCAGCTGTAGCTGCTGCAACTTATTAATAAGCTGTTGAAATATAATCTGCTAATAAAAAAGGTGCGAAGACTGAACGATGCAAAAACACTTATTTCAGTGATTTGAAAATGTAGCTTTAAAAAAAAAAATTGCCAAAACTCAGTTTACCCAAACAGTCCCGGATGTGTTTTTTGACGTTCTTCAAAACGCACCGCACCAAATAAGCTGCCCCAAATTGACCATAATAATAGCGGTAAAAAATTGGATATAATGTTATTAAGGGTATATTCATAAAAAAAAAATTAATTTTTATAAAAGTCTTATAAATTTTTTAACAGTTAAATCCACGTCAAATTGACCAAAAAAATTAATATTGTTGCTGCATAAATTTAATTTCTATAAAAAGAATAATTTGGACTTTGGTTTATGGAGATGAAACGATTCTTCAAATAACTCGAAAGTTTGTTGCACATTTGATCAACATTTATTGTTCGGTTTCATTTCAATTTGATTTTAGATATAGTAATATATCATATATTATCTTTTCAATTATTTAATTAAAATAATAAAATAATAAAATAATTAATTGATTATCTTCGAAGGCAGGCTCTGTATGCCGCGATCCAGAGGTATTATCGAACGTTCTCCACGAACGCGGGAAGCGAAAGCTGGGCCGCGAAGTCGATCCTGCTGCCGGCTTTCTGCCCGCTTTAGCTTCCTTCGGCCCAAACATAAAAGTTTCGCGATTTGGGGCCGCGCCGCGTCAAAAAAGCGGTGATGTTACCCCTCGCCGATGTGGACGCGCACAAGATCAGCGATGGGACTTTTCGAAAGCTGCCTCTGAGGGATGTAGGCACCGCCTCACTAGAGGAAGGCGGTTACCCGACTCTTTTTGTTTGATTGGACTTATTTGCCCTTCTATTTAATAACAAATAACGAATTAACTAATTCTCTAGCTTGAGTGTTTGACCTAAATACATGGTGTAGTAATGAAACAGCCTCATGACCTCTGACTTTGGATTATATACCGAAACTATTTTAATATTTAATAATCTTTAATATTACCTTGAAACAAGGGTGGAGATTATTATTTAAATTTACAAGAATAAAATTTAGGAGATTTATCAACATGGTACTTAAAACTTTATTATCTTTGTAGCCAACATTATGGGTGTGAGTGAGTCAAGTGAGACTCGTGAGCTGGCTCGAGCTCGGCTTGATAAGCGGCTCGTGAGCTGAGCTCGATGACCTGACTAGCCAAGCTCAAGCTAGTTATGACTTGATTTGTTAGTTGGTGAGTCGGCACGTTTGAAAAAAAAATAGTATAAAATATATTCAAGGTATATTAAATTTTAAGATTTTATCTTTAAACGTATTAAAAATGTTAAGAAAAATAATATTTTCTATTTTACATTAAGTGATTTCTTCTTACTTGTATCAAATTTGCTCATTCTATATATCATTTTATCATCACAGCACCTTAAATTAATATTATTTTTTCTTTTTTATGATAAACAAGTCGGCTTGTGAGTCAGCTTGAACTCGTAGACTTAATCTCGAACTTAAGGTTGAGCTTGAGCTCGACTCGACCCTTTAACACCCCTACCCAACACTCAAACTTTATCATTTATATGTATCAAACCCAAGAGTACTTTAACACATCAAAATTGGCAGTGTTTCTTTCTTCCCCCTCTCTTAAATGACACCAGACATAGATGTCACTATCAATGATCATTATTTAGGCATTGGACTCACAACGCAGTAGTATCATTGGGGGTATGAAGAATGTTGATTAGCATAGAGAATGTTGAGATTGGTATGTTGATATGGAAGATGTCAATAGTCACCACTAGGGTTTTATTACGCCTTACATCTCCCCTCGATAGAATAATTAGTTTGTCATATTTAATTTCCAAATAACTCTTCCCTTCCCATAGGGTTAGAGATCAGAGGTTTAAAAACGAAGTTAAAACCTCAGTTGTAACTCTAGAGATTTAACATGTATTTTGTGAAGATAAACTATCGAACATGTTTCAATTATTGAATAGTTTGAGCTAGTGCCTCACTTCTAATAATCTCAACAGTTACTTGGCCTGCCATACCCATTGTTTCTAACATAGTTACAGTTGCTTCACTGACATGAAAAATGCAGGAAATATTAGTTGGATATCACTGCATAAGAAAGCAAAATTTATATATGTTGGATAATGTAAGAAAAAAATGTGTACCTCAAAAAGTCAACATAAAAAATATAAATGTTGGAACATGGTATCGTCCAATTTCAAACAAATGAGCGCATTTTCAACACTTATATTGGAAGATATGCCATGATGAGATTATTTCTCATTGGAGGAAGGTTAGGTGGATAGTGTTGACCTCATTTTTGGTTGAGGTCTAGTTTTTCCTCTTTAGTAGCTTAGGGTCTAGCCATAGAACTTTCCTATTGACTATTCCTAGAGGACTAGAAATGAACCCTCACCATTAGAAATTTCAAACCCTTCTTTGCTCAACCTGAAGTTCCACATATTGGTCCTGACCTTTAGCACTTAGTAGGTAGGGTCAATATGAAGGAGCTCAAGGAGAGTCCCCCATAAGATGGTTAGACCTTAAGACTAACCCTGGGTGATCTGATTTTGGTGGGGCTAACTTACACACACTGCATTATCTCACATACCCTAAACCCCACCCCTTAGATTGGTCTCCTGACTCCTCTTGGAAAGCTCATGTGGATGACCCTTTACCCCTAGTATTTGGCTAAGAGGGTTAGAACCAACATATTGAGCATCCAAAATGAGTCCTCATATGACTCCTATTGGTTTAGTATGGCTTCATATAACTCGTATGACTTCAGTATGACTTCATGGCTTGTTGGCCCATTTTGGCCCAAAATCACTAAATTACCAAAATACCCCTAGACCCCAATCTTTGTCAAAAATCCCAAAATCACCCAAAATACCAAAATTTGCCCAAAAATAATCTCAAACCCCTCACTACCTAAATTGACCAAAATTCACAAAAAATACGAAATTCCCGAAAATACCCCCAAATTTGCCCAAAATTACCAAAATACCCATCATGACCTAAACATTCCAAAAATTCCAAAATCATCCCAAATATTCTCAATTTAAAATATTTATCATCATTTTTACCCGATTTGAGCAATTTTAACCAATTTGACCAAAAGCCCTAATTTGCCCTTAAAGGTCCAAATGTCCCCAAATTAGCCCCAATCTTAGCCCAATTGACCCTAATCCTGTTCAATTTTAATTCCAAATCAAAATTCAACATCCCCAATCCTATTATAAACAAAATTCAAGCCCAATTTCATTCAAATAAAAAAGGCCCAATTTTGACAATATGCCTAAATCCATCAAAATCACTTGAAATTTTGCCAAATCCTTCATGACATATTCCTACACCAAACTCAACATTCAATTAGCCTAAATTTTAGCCCAAACTCAATTTCCATTTTAAAAGCCCATGCCCAACACATATAATTCCGAACGCCCAATTCCAAGGCCCATATGACAACTCTTTCCTTCATCATCCATTTAATCAAATATCACTTCTTGAGTTTTAATTTCATGATAAATTCATTCCAAATCAAGCCTCATGAAAAAACTCCACTAAAATATCAAAAATTCTAAAAATCCCTTCTCTTGAAAATTAGCCACGCCTAAGGCGAGCCACGAAGACAAGCCATAGAAAAGCCATGAGAGCCTTGCCACATCATCAAACTATTAATGGCAAGAGGACGAGCCACTTTCAAAATTTTTTAAAAAGGTTTTAACCCTTTTAATGATTCCTCTAAACCTCATACTTAACCAAATCACTTGGATGAGGACTTCTCCACACCAATATAGCTGACCCATCTGATCCTCTTCAGCTCAAGCCTAATCTTGGTGGCTGAACCCAACCCAAACAATGTCTTGACCCAATTTGACCCAAAATGACCCTTTTCACATACTATTTGAATCCCATACCTTTACACATGGCCAACCCCAATTGATTTCACTAAGACCAAGCCCTAACCTCCCTAAGTTAGATGGTGACCCCTTCCTGGCCGGCCAGCCACCTTGGTGGCTGGAAAACCCAAAATCAAAAGCTCCACCATGGTTAAAACTCAAAATAAAACCCATCAATTAAACCCATCCAAAAACCCATCCAAGCTGGCTCATCCCAATTGAATTTTTTCACATTGTTGGCATCCACATAAGCAACTTAGGAAACCCATCAATTGCCCTTGGTGGCCTCTCCTTCCCCCATCTATTTAAAACCCCCTCTAGGGCCAAAGGAGGAGAGCTTGAAATTCCTTGGGGAGACTCTGCCAAATTGCATTCAGAGCTTCTTCAAGACCTCCTAAGTGCAATGCAATCATTTTTAACGTGCAATGCAATCATTTTTAGCCCTCTCCTCCATTGAACAAAGCCAATTTTCCAACCCTAATTTGAGGCCAAAACAGTACACTCACCAAACCTCCATCAAATCCAAATTAATTGCACCCACACCATCCCCACATCAAAAGAAGAAGATCTCCCACAAAAGCCCCATCACCAGAGCACCCTAAGGTGGACTTTGACCAACACCCCAAATT